TCAAGTCGAGTGCGGCGTATCAGTCCCCCAGATCCAGGGAAGGAATGATGGGAGCCAGAGAGACCATGTGAAACTTCACTTTCCTCATGAACGTGTTGAGGTCTCACAGATCCAGGATAGGCCAGAGCTCACCCTTGGCCTTGGGGATGAGGAAATAGCGGGAGTAGAACCTCTTGCCCCTGAACTCCTGAGGAACCTCCTCTATTGCCCCTAGAGCGAGGAGCGATTGCACCTCCTGCAAGAGGAGTAGTTCATGACAAGGGTCCCTGAAGAGAAACGGGGAAAGGGGGTGGGAGGGCGGGAGGGAACAGAATTGGATAAAATATCCCATCCATACCATGCTCAGGACCCAGCGATCTGAAGTGATCTGGGACCATGCACGGTAGAAGTGGGAGAATCAATTCACAAAGGGAGGGTAAGGATCCAAATTCAATACTGATGCTCCGTCCTCGGGCGCATCTTCAAAAGTTTGGCTTCGGGCCTGGGGGCTGTTTGGCCAAACTCTGGCCTTGGCCCAGAGTAGAAGTGAGACGGGGGCTGGGGCTTAAATGGCTTTCTTTGGGGTGCAGGGGTGTGGATCCCCAAAGGTTTTAAAGTCACTTCGAGTCCTTAAGGTTGTGCAGGCAAGAATCCATATTTTGGGCAAACAGGCCTGCACGGTTAAAGAGGAGGTCCTGGATCGTGTTCTCGACTTCACGTGGTATCCCAGACACCTTCAGCCACACACTGCACCTCCTTGTAATAGCGGTGGCCATAGTCCAAGCCGCTGAGTCTGCCTCGTCTAACGTGGCCTGGAGGGATGTTCTCGAGACCAGTCTGCCCTCCTCGAGGCACGTGCTAAACTCCTTGTGAGAGTCAGCTGGGAGTAACGCCTGGAATTTTGCTAACAAGCTCCAGGAATTGGAAGCAGCTGAGTACCGCTTGCTGGTTGGCCACTCGAAGCTGGAGCCCCCCGGTCGAGTAGACCTTTCGACCGAAAATGTCCAGCTTCTTAGCATCCTGTGACTTTGGGGTGGGACCTGGCTGCCCCTGTCGCTCCTTATGATTTGCCCTGCAAAGATCACCAGAATCCCCAGTTGGGGGTGGGTGAAAAGGTGTTCGTACCCTTTCTTTGGCAAAAAATAGCATCTCTCCACCCCTTTAGCAGTGGGTGGTATTGAGGCCGGAATCTGCCAGAGCATCCTAGTAGTATTCTGGATCGTTCTTATCAGGGGCAAGGGCACCCTAGATGGATAGTCCAGGGAAAGGATGTCCACCATCGGGTCCGACTCCAGGATGCCGCCTGGTAGCACTGGCCTTACGAGCAGGGCAGCAGTGCTGGTGCTCCTTGGAGGAGTCCTTTCCTGCTGCCAGGACATGCAACACCAAGGCTGGGGGGCTGCGCACCAATGGTGCGGTGCCATTTCCAGTGCCGGCTGGGTGCGGAGAGCCGACTCCATCAGGAGGAGCTTTCAATGATAGTCCCGCTCTCTCTTAGTCCTGGGTCTGAAGCTCCTGCAAATTGGGCACTTGTCTGTCTGATACCGTCTCCAAGGCACTTGAGACAAGGAGCGTGTGGATCGCTTGTGGGCATAGGTTTCGCACACCTCTCGCACTCCTTAAACCCCTGTGACCGAGGCATACCCAGGTGCCTGGGGAAACTGGGGTGGGGGGAAAGCCCCCCAAAGTGAGCCCAAATTATTAGAAACTATTATATAACTAACTATTAACTATCTACAACTAAGAAAAGGGAACCACTAGTAGGGTGACCAGACAGCAAGTGTGAAAAATCGGGAGGGGGAGGGGGATAATAGGAGCCTGTATAAGAAAAAGACCCCAAAATCGGGACTGTCCCTATAAAATCAGGACATCTGGTCACCCTAACCACTAGGTAGGCACTTGTGAATGCAAGAGATTCAGCTGCTCCAACGACAGTCACTGGCACTAAGAAGGAACTGAGAACATGGCAGGTCTGCAGGGAACTATATACACCACTATGAAGACGCCCCTCCAGGGGTTTCCACAGCCAACCCGATGGGTACCGCTAGGGAAAAACCTTCCGATGATCGTGCATGCGCGCACACCTATTGGTATGAACATGAGAAATCATGCAAAGAAGAACATAGCAACTCCCACTCATGGGTTTCAACAGCCTCTACAACAGCCTGTTAGGAGTTCACTCCCTGTCAATTAATCACGGTTAACTTACACGATTAACTCAAAAAAAAGATCATGATTAAAAAACTTGATCACTAATCGCAGTTTTAATCGCACTGTTAAACAATAGAATATCAATTGCAATTTATTAAATATTTTGCATATTTTCTATGTTTTCAAATATATTGATTTCAATTACAACACAGAATATGATATGTGTAGTTCTCACTTTATATTATTACAGTTGAAGTTGTTTTATCCGGCATGTTGGGGAAACGGGGGGTGCCGGTAAATGAAAAATGCTGGTTAATTAAGAGGGAGGGAGTTTGGGTGCGGGAGGGAGTGTGGGGCTGGGAGTTGGGGCACACGAGGGGGTGTGGAGTACGGGCTCTGGGAGGACATTTGGGTGCAGGGGCAGGCAGTTGGGGCATGGTATCAAGTGCAGGCACTCACCTCAGGTGGCTCCCCGCAAGCAGCAACTTGTCCCGGCTCCTCCTAGGTGGAGGCGCGGCAGGCGGCTTGGTGCACTATATCCGCCAGCACGTGCCACCCCCGCAGCTCCCATTGGCCATGGTTGCCAGTCAATAGGAGCTGTGCAGCTGGCATGGGGGGGAAAAATGCAGAGCCACTGGCGTGCCTCAGAGCTCAGGACAGGTCGCCGCTTACGGGGAGTCATCCAAGGTGAGCTGCCATCGATCTTACACATCGCACCCCCTCCCGCGTACTAAGACCCCTCCAAAGCCTGCACTCCACACTCACTCCTGCACCCCAGCACCCTGCCGGCACCATGCCAACCGGACTATAAACGGGCATTTCAATTAAGGTCAGAAACACCGATTTATAGAGCTTTCCTGTTGGCGAAGTGATGGAAAAAACAGATTTTACTGTGTTTTGCTTTCATTTAATCTGACAAAATATGACTTGTTCTGTTTTGATTTATAATCACTTAAAATCTATCTTCATAGTTAATAACTCAGTTTGTTTGTTCAATCTGAAGCATCGTGTTTGGTTTGAAGCATGTCAGAGACTCCCCTTGTGATAACAAGCCTGGTACATCCCAATTTCTTTGTTAAATTGATGAACTCATATAAGCCTGCAGCGTCCAGCAGGCATAACTGGAGAGTGCAAGAAGGAGGTTCCTCAGGTTGTGTCTGGGACCGGCAATATTGGCTAGTGTCATTTGGTTGCATAATCCAAGGAGCAGCTTACATGTCACAGGCTGTGTGTGAACAGCCCAGGAGTAGGGGTTCTCACAGCAGAGCAGGGAAAGGCTGGCTCCCACAGTCAAGGACTGGAGTGACCTAGCAGATCACCAGTCCAGATAACACCAGAGGGGAACGTCACAGAACCAATGTGAGATTTCTAAAGCTAGTTACAGCACTCAACCCAAGGTTTAAAAATCTGAAGTGCATTTTCAAAATCTGATAGGGACAAGGTGTGGAGCATGCTTTCAGAAGTCTTAAAAGAGCAACACTCCAATGTGGAAACTACAGAACCTGAACCACTAAAAAAGAAAATCAACCTTCTACTGTTGGCATCTAACTCAGATGATGAAAATGAACATTTGTCGGTCTGCGCTGCTTTGGATCGTTAGTGAGCAGAACCCATCATCAGCATGGACGCGTGTTCTCTGGAATGGTGGTCAAAGCGTGAAGGGACAAATGAATTTTTACCGCATCTGGCACATAAATATTTTGCTACACCAGCTACAACAGTGCCATGTGAATGCCTGTTCTCACTTTCAGGTAACATTGTAAACAGGAAGCAGGCAGCAAAGGTAAACTAATTTCTCTGTCTGAGCGATTGGCTGAATGAGATGTAGGACTGAGTGGACTTGTAGGATCTAAAATTTTACATTGTTTTATTTTTGATTACGGTTATGATTTGTAAATCATTCTACATTTTTAAGTTCAACATTCCTGATAAAGAGATTGCACTACAGTACTTGTATGAAGTGAACTGAAAATAATATTTGTTTTGTTTCTTTTTTACAGTGCAAATATGTGTAATCAAAAATAAATATAAAGTGAGCACTGTACACTTTCTATTCTTTGTTATAATTGAAAGCAATATATTTGAAAATGTAGAAAACATCTCGTAAAATTGAAATAAATAGTATTCTATTATTCTGTAAAGATGCGATTAATTGTACAATTAATAATGATAATGCTTTTATCTCACAATTAATCATGATTATCTTTTTAATAACTTGACAGCCCTACTCCCCACCACTACCATGCAGCCACCCTGTGGAGTGGAACAGAGAGACAGGCCACACAAACTCATAAGCTGTGTAGGAGAGGTAGTTAGGAAGAACCCTGTCTCCAGTCACAACAGTGGGGTATATTACAACTTTATGTGTAATTAGCTGAGATGTAAATCACCCAGAGTGACATAGATAGGAACCCCACACATCATAAAGGTATCCATGAGTGGCTGCAGGATCCATTCAACCCGAAGTCACACAAATGGGATCTACAGTTACCCAGTGCCCCATTGTGCTGTAGCTGGGAGGGTCTCTCACAGAGGAACACGTACCGCTCCCTGCAGCACAGACCCTAAGTGGAGTGCTGGGGCACTGGTCCAGCACTGACTTAGAGGGGAGAGCACCCCCTACTGGGCCCCCATCCCGTTCCCTGCAGTACAGGCATGTAGAACTGTGTGGGGAAATGGGGTCAGCACTGATACCATGGGAGGAGAGACACTTACTGTGAACCCAAAATGGCTCCTTACAGTACAGGCCCTTACCACCATGCTGGGGCACTTGGGTCAGCACTGACTCAGACAGGCGAGCTGGGTCTCTCCTGACAGATTCCCAGCCCGATCCCTGCACCACTCACAGTGACGTGATGGAGCCAAGTTACCTGAGCACACAACACCAGCATCTTTTCTGTGGTTACAGTTATTCTCTTCCCAAGGCCGAGCCCTGCAATCGGAGAGGGCACCTTCTGTCCCTGTGCAGTTGACATCATCCAGCCAGATACGGTCAGATCCTTGCCCAAAGCGAGCCCCACCTGGGGCTGATAACGCCGTCCCACAGCCCAGCTGCCTGCACACAACTCTGGCATCCTGTAAGTCCCAGCTGTCACCACACACGGTTCCCCACTTCTGGTTGTGAAGCACCTCGACTCTCCCAGCGCAGCGACTTGGGCTGTTCACCAGTCGGAGCTGAGCCACTTCTGATATGCCAGAGTCTGCAGACACCCAAGGCAATAAACACTCAGGGAAGTTCCTGTGCATCTGATCTCTCATGTCACTGGGGAACGTAGCACCTCCCGCCGACGGATCTGACCGGTCTCTGCATACAGCCACTGCCAATCAAGGGCTTCCCACCACTGACCAGGCTAATAACTTGGGCAATGATGATGTTTGTCCACTCCCCTCCCAGCCAGCTCTCACCTAGCTAGGCTGTCACCTAGTTAGGCAGACTGGACGGCAGTCTGACCTACTGTTCCCATTAGAGCACTTATAAAGATCACCCCCCGCACTGGTGGCAGGAACCTCCTGAGGCGCAGATTTACACCCTGACTCCTGGTGCTTGTATTTGCTCCAGTGCGATACTGTGCAGTGCTGCAGGGCAGATACTGGGATAAGCATCTTGGTGACTGGGAGCTGAACACAATCACCCCTGTCATTAGTGGTTGCCTTAGCCTGACATCAGTATTGAATTTACATGCGTTGGCTCCATAGTTCCCTGAAAACGTCACCCAGAGTCCATCCCCCTTAGAACTGCCTGGAGCCCAGGGACGCCTGGCAGGAACCTGCTGCGCACCAGGCTGACAATGGCTCCGTCTGCAGACGAATCTGATCGGTCTCTGCCACTGCCTGTCAAGGGCTCCCCACCACTGACCAACCTAAACATTGGGTAATGTTGAAGTTTGTCCACTCCCCTCGAAGCCAGCTCTCACCTAGTTAGGCTGTCATCAAATTAGGCAGACTGTACTGCAGTCTGACCTACTGCTCCCACTGCAGCACTTAAAAAGATCACCCCCCGCACTGCTGGCAGGAACCTCCTGGGGAGCAGATTTACACCGACACTCCTGGTGCTGGTATCTGCTCCAGTGCGATGTGTGCAGTGCTGTGGGGCAGATGCTGGCATTAACATCTTGGTGACTGGGAGCTGAACACAGTCACCCGCGTCATTAGTTGTTGCCTTAGCCTGACATCAGCATCGAATTTACATGTGTTGGCTCCATAGCTCCCTGAAACCGCCACCCAGAGTCCATCCCCCTTAGAAAAGGCTTCAGGACCAGATTGTGTTTACAAGAACACACCCACTCTGCCTAGGTATCCAGCCTACAGAGCTTTGTTGGCTGGTACTGGGTTACAAATCACTGTAGTACTTCAATGCTAGGGTAGTGAAATGTTGTTGTCCTGATTGTCTGAGTAAAGGGCAGCAGAACTGTGCTTAGCCTGCCCTGACTGAGTGGGTCACCCACAACTGAACTGAACTCACTAACCAGGGAGCTCAGACACCAGACCCCTATCAAGAATGAGAGGAGGTGGAGATGGATGTTCCTGCTGAGGTGTGTGCGTACTGTGTAAGAGGTCTAGGCCCCTCACCTAATCTTAATCTTAATTTGCCCCTCACCACTCTTCAAAGATAGAGTTAATTAAGGCTCCATTATGAGTCTTTTTGGTTCAAGTGATCACTAGAGCTGAAATCACCTGCTGTGAGACAGTGTTTTTGCCCTGCCTGCTTCGGTCCTGAGGTTTCCCCACTAAGAGGTGACTGTCACTGAGAGCTGGGTGGAGACTGAAGAGAGCAACCTGCAGAGGTTACAGTAGGGGCAGTAGAAGGTGAGGGCGAGCAGAGTGGTGAGTGGCTGGCAGGGCAGCTGCCACCAGAGCAAGCACCCAGACAGCAGAGCGAGCCAGGCGCTCTCCTCCCTGCCCCCATGGTGGGAGCTAAACTCACACAGCTGTACCTCTGAACTCTGGGTCTTCACTAACCAAGGACAACAACCACTGCAAGTGCAGTGCAGTGGAGGAAGAAGAGAGCAGCACCTTAAAGGAATTTTTGGTTGCTGGACTCAAGAACCTGAGGTAAAAGACACTGCCCAACGTACTCTGGGGGAGGTGTTTTGCTCATGGTTTTATGTTTATAAATCCTATTTGTGGCATTTTCCCAAGTTAATGTCGGGGACCTTCCTTCCTTTTATAAAAAAGTTTCTTTTCTGCGCTGAGACTCTGTGCTTGCAAGAGGGGAAGCTTTCCCCTGTAGAAGCACCCATGGGGTGGATGTGTACTTGTCCCAGGTTACTGGTTGGGTGCTGAAGCCGGATCTGTGTTGTATTGCTGGAAAGGAACATCTAGATATTGAACCCGGCCCTGGTCGCTTCCGACGCCACTGGCAGAAGGGTTACATAGATATCCACTTGTGACATACACAAAAGAAGAAAACTCTCCCCACTGACATGCAGCCACTTCTGGGGTAGGACAGGGCAGCTGAGAAACAGGACAGGGAAATATGTAGGTTGTGTAGGGCAGGAAGTGAGGAAGAATTGCGTCTCCTGTGTCCAACTCTTGGGGAAGTTACAGGTTCAGGACTAATTCCCTGAAATGCAAATCCGCCGGAACACAGTCATTCGGAACCGGACTCTTGAGAAATTGGCCCTGGATTTTTAGTTTGAATGAGCGTCTGCAGGCTCCATTGACACCAAATCCAACCAGTGGAAGCTGAAGTTACCCAGGTCCCCATTGTGCTGCAGAGGAGTCTGGCCCAGAGATAAGTGGACGCCAACTGTCAGAGGGCACAGGGATGCCTAGAGTTATACAGGGATCCCCTGAGTGAGATATAGACATAGACAGCTGCAGAGGCAGAGGAGCCTGCAAACAGAGCTGTAAACAGGGGAGTTTGAGTTGCAGTTTGCAAGGGGAGTTTGCGGGGAAGACTAAGAGAGCCAGGCAGAGGAATAGACAGGGTAGTGAAGGGAGTGTGTGCTGGTCTGGCAGTGTTTTGGTGGTCATTGGGGGTTTGTTTTGCTGTGGGTGGTGGTGTTTTGGTTTTGTTTGTGTTTCCCGGACTAACAGGACTTAGGTGAGAAGGCTATGACAAATACAGAGGCAGCAGTGGTAGTGACCCAAGCAGTGGAAGACACATTGAAGATGACTGGATGTGGAAGCCGCGGCATGTACATGATCCTGCAGGGGTTACCTGAAAAGAGTTCCGTCTGCATGAAGTGCCACCTGATAGAGCTGATGGAAGAAAAGATCCGAGGACTGGCGATGCAGGTGGAAACTCTGATTGAGTTTAGAAGGGGATCAAGCAGATGATGGAGCAAAGACATGAGGAGGCTGAAGGGAAAAGCTCAGACTTGCAGATGGAAGCAGGACCAAAGAACTCTGAGGGGAGACTGCTGGGTGAGGAAAGTGGACAGTGGAAGCATGTGACTAAGAGAGCCAGGCAGAGGAAAAGACGGGCTAGTGAAGGAGAAATAGAGCTCAGGAACAGGTTTGCGAAGTTGGAAAATGAAGAAGGGGCACAGCAGGTGGTCACTGAAGGTGAGAGGGCAAGGAAGAAGAGAAGAGCAGCTAGTCCTACAGGAAGAGTCAATGGAGATAACAACACCAAATATGAGCCCCAGGAGGATACGGGATGGGTTGCAGAGAAATCGAGAGGACTTGCACCCAGAGGGAGCAGGGGATAGACCGGAGAATCACACCATCACTAGGAAAATGCAGGTCTACATGATTGGGGATTCCTTACTGAAAAGAACAGACAGGCCTGTAACTAGAGCTGATCCAGAGAACAGAAGGGTGTGCTGTCTGCCGGGTGCTAAGATACGGGATGTGGACCTGAGGCTGAAGAGGATCCTAACAGGAGCGGGAAAGAATCCACTGATTGTCCTTCATGTGGGAACAAATGATACGGCTAAATTCTCGCTAGAACGTTTCAAGGGAGATTATGCCAGACTGGGGAAGATGCTTAAGGAAATCGAGGCTCGGGTGATCTTCAGTGAGATTCTGCCTGTTCCTAGAGAAGGGCAACAAAGGTTTGACAAGATTATGATGATCAACAGATGGCTCAGGCAGTGGTGCTATAAGGAGGGCTTTGGGATGTATGGCCACTGGGAAGCATTCATGGACAGAGGACTGTTCTCTTGGGATGGACTTCACCTGACTAGGGTGGGAAATAGACTTCTAGGATGGAGGCTGGCACAACTGATTAAGAGAGCTTTAAACTAGGAATTTGGGGGAGATGGTTGGGAGATGTCCAGGTAATCTCCATGCTGGATTTTAACATTGAGAGGGAAGAAAATGAAGCAAGAAAGGATACAGCCGTGGGTAGGAGAATGGACTTAAGGAGGAAGGGTAGTGTAGATACCAGTCTAATAGGTGATACTGGTGGTAGACTGTCCGTGCCTAATCGGGTAAAGAATGTGAGAGAAACCAAAGAGCAAAAATTAAGATGTTTATACATTAATGTGAGGAGCCTAGGTAACAAAATGGGGGAACTAGAGCTATTGGTGCAGGAAGTGAAACCAGATATTATAGGGATAACAGAAACATGATGGAATAGTAGTCATGATTGGAGTACAGGTATTGAAGGCTATGTGCTGTTTAGAAAAGACAGAAATAAAGGCAAAGGTGGTGGAGTAGCATTGTATATCAATTGTGAGGTAGACTGTAAATAAATAAGAAGTGATGGAATGGATAAGACAGAGTCTGTCTCAGCAAAAATCACATTGGGGAAGAAAGGTACTAGAGCCTCCCCTGGGATAGTGCTTGGGTGTGCTATAGACCGTCGGGATCCAATTTGGATAAGGATAGAGACCTCTTTAATGTTTTCAATGTAGTAAATACTAATGGGAATTGTGTGATCATGGGAGACGTTAACTTCCCAGATATAGACTAGAGGACAAGTGCTAGTAATAATAATAGGGCTCAGATTTTCCTGGATGCGATAGTTGATGGATTCCTTCACCAAGTAGTTGCTGAACCAACAAGAGGGGATGCCATTTTAGATTTGGTTTTGGTGAGTAGTGAGGACCTCATTGAACAAATGGTTGTAGAGGACAACCTTAGTTCGAGTGATCATGAGCTAATTCAGTTCAAACTAAATGGAAGGATAAACAAAAATAGATCTGTGACTATGGTTTTTGATTTCAAAAGGGCTAACTTTAAAAATTAAGGAAATTAGTTAGGGAAGTGGATTGGACTGAGGAACTTGTGGATCTAAAGGCGGAGGAGGCCTGGAATTACTTCAAGCCAAGGTTGCAGATAAAACCTTGGCTTGAAGTAATTCCAGGCCTCCTCCG